CGATGGCCCACTGATTGCCGAGGAGGGACCGAAAGCCCACACCGCCCAGGTACGTGCGGATTCGCTATCAGGGGCCCATCGCCGACCTATTGGCGATGCATCGCCGACTCCAACTCGATGATTTTCCCCCTGAGCTGGTCCCCTCCCACCGATTGCCCCTCCGTCAGGCAGGGCTGCTCATGGTCCGACTCGGTCCGACCCGATCCAACAGTTTCGGTTCCAATCTCGCTCCAGGCCATGCCAATTTGACGCGAGCCGATTCCTTCGCTGGCCCACGATGGCGGAGCCCGACCCCGAGACCCCCAGCGGTCCGATGCCGATCCGAGTACTCGCCAGGGCCAGGCGCGATCTAGTCCGTCTCTGACTTTGTGCGATTCGGTCCACCGCTCGGGCCCGGTGGCCACACATGGAGTGGAGACCCATGCCAAGGAAGGTTTCATGTGGATCGGCCTCCACTACACATACCCAGACCTCCACAGTATTGAAACAATCGGGACACGGGTGTCTTGCCGGGCGCCTGGACCGTCAAAACACGACTCAGGATGAAAACGCTGTCATCTCTCAGGTCTGTCATTCATAATTGATCTCGCACGGGGGTGACAAACCACATGATGTTCCGAGTGAGTGTTCAGGTGGGTTGCGTCTGGCCTGACCTATCTCACAACAGCAACGGGTTCTATAAGGCGATACGCAGGTCGCTCAGTGGCTGAGTAGGCTCCGCCCACACAGCGGGGTTGTCGACCCCTCTGAAAGCCGCGTGGGGCACATGCTGCCAGCTGATAAGCCAGGCTAGGGAGGCAACTCATAGCACACATTAGAACCTACTTGTAATTCCGTATCCATTTAGCAATCCCCGAGTTGGTCCAAGTTGTCCTCATATGCCTCGCCGCCTCTTCGTTCGGCCTTCTTGACCCTGGCGTCCAAACGCCGCGATCGAATGATCACGACGGGGCCTCCCCATCCTCGCCTCGGGCCCCCGTGCCGACTGGCCTTAATGCTGCACGGGCAGCAGCTTCCAGAAAGGTCCCTACGGGCGTGTTCCGAGCGACTGTGCTGTGGCTGCCACTCTCTCTCTGTCCGTGCTCCCTTGCGGTCCGGTTCTGCACGAAAGACTCTGCCCAGTTTGTATCCCCGTGGCGGCGCCTCTGGAGCCGCTGTTAGCGCGCTCAGCCCAGCGCAGGACCCAGGAAAAGGTATTGTGACTGTTATAGCTGCGTGGTGTTCCTGGGAGACCCTTGTCATCCGATCCGCGCTCAAGTTTAGTTTGAGGGCGAGTTTCTTCAGAGCGGCTTGCGTCTGCGGGCCAAAGTGGGGATTTCTCTTTGTTTCTAGTTACGATATCTTCCACTCAGACGCGGCGGTGGCAACGTACCAGTGGCCCAGGGTCAGGTGGACTTCGTCGCCGCCTGCATGGCGTTCGGGTGCGCGCAGCGGGCAGCAGTGGAGTCCCGAACCTCACGGCAAAGGTGCGCTGCCACCTTCCTCTTCGCACCTTGGCGCCTACTTTATTCTGGACCCCAGCCGCAGGCATGGCCTTGTCGCCGTAACAATGCTCAAGCCACCTTCTGCAAACATTGCAAATCCGTGCGTGAAATGTTCCCGCCAGTTGGATGGAGCGGTGCTCAGCAGATGGGATATTCGCTGCCAGGTTTCTTGGATTCGTTTTCGGGACAGGCTGCGGGCCCTGGTGGACAGTATGGGCAACAGACGGATTTTTCCCGAACTGCGATGCGACGAGAGCTCGAGCCGGTCATTGCTGGTTTGCCGAAGTCGGGGGATGCCATTGGCGTTGAGGCCTCCCGCGCTAAAGGCCGAGCTCGCGATCGAGGACGTCGTGGGCAGTGGCGCCGTGGATTGCATTCCCCCGCGCGATCTGTTGTCTCCTTCGGCGAAGACGAGAATTGTTTACCTTGGTCGGGCAGGCGGCTACGAGACGGCCTGGTCCTTCGGCCTCGCCTGCTCGGAAGTGCTCGTGGAGCCGGGCGGCGGCGGCGGGGGGCAGGGGACCAAGTCGCGACCATCGGGAGGAGGAGGACGACAAGGAGGAGGAGGAGGAGGAGGAGGAGGAGGAGGACCTGACGAGTTGGCGCAGGGGCCCAACGACAGGCCGGCGCGAGCCACTGCCGCGGCCCCTCGCCGGCGCGGCGGCCCAGGCGGAGAGAGCCCGGCAGGACCTCGAGGCGCCGCTCGTGCGCCCGGCTCCAGGGCGTCGTCGCCGCGGCGGGGGCAGCGCTGCACCTTAAGAACAGAGCTAGGATCGGGATACTCACCACCCACCAAACCACCCCAACCCAACCCGAAGCCCTCAATTTGCCCTCCATTTCCAGTGGGGGGGGTCGGGGAACGTTGAAAAAACACATGAACTCCGAACCCGACATTCGGGTCTTCGGGTTGGGTTGGGGTGGTCTGGTAGGTAGTCAGATACGTCGCCCCAGAGCGTCCCGGAGCGCTCTCGGAGCGTTCCGGAGCGCTCTGAGAGCGGCCGCGGCGCCCAACACATCCTCCAAACCCGCCGATTCTCGGAGATCTCGAGTTGTCCCGATCCGATCTTGTCCCGATCTTCGCGTCGTTTTACATGTACGTCCTTCTTTCGCTCCTGAAATTCCTGGGCCGGGGAGAAAGGCTACCGGGTCCCCGTCGGCGAGAGCAGTGAGCGCCTGGGGGGCCGACGCCTCCCCCGCGCTCACGCGCCCCCCCCCAAGGACACACCAATAAATACACACAAATCAAATCATTCCCAATATTTTCCCATACTTTCTCGGTTTTTGTCTTCCCCCCCGCTTCCCAGGGGGGGGGAGATCAGGGGCCGGGGGGGGGGGGGGGCGCGGCCTCGCGGGGCCCGGCAGCGCGAGGGGGGGCCCGGAGGATTCCGGCGTGTGCCGGGCTCTCCGCGCGCGAACCTCTGCCCCCAACACGGGGGTTAAAGGGTGGCTAAAGGGGGGCGCGTGGGTCGTCGCGGCCTTCGCTCCCCCCTCGGACTCTGCCCCCCTCCTCCCCTCCCCTTCCTCCCCTCCCCCTCCTTCCCGCTCCTGCCCCCTCCTGCCCCTCCCCCTGCTTCCCCTCATGCCCCCCTCCTCCCCCTCCTCCCCCTCCTCCCCCTCCTCCCCCTCCGTCCCCTCCTCCCCCTCCCCTCCTCCCTTCCCTCTCCTCCTTCCCCCTCCTCCCCTCCCCCCCCTCCCCCCTCCTCCCCTTCCCTCCCCCTCTCCCCCTCCTTCCCCTCATGCCCCTGGGGGGGCCTAAGAACGAAGGTCCCGAGGAGGTGGGCTGGGGGGTGGGGGCGTTAGACACGGCTGGGGTCGGGCAGGGTTCCGGGTGAGGAATTGCAGGGTGGCGGGGCCTGAGAACGAAGATCCCGAGGGGGTGGTCTGAGGGGCGGGGGCGTCAGACACGGCGGAGGTCGGGGTGGGTTCCGGGTGAGAAATTCCAGGATGGAGGGGCCTGGTCCCGAGGGGGTGGTTTGGGGGGTGGGGGTGTCAGATACGTCGGGGGTCGGTGTGGGTTCCAGGTGAGAAATTGCAGGGTGGACAGTGGACTAATTGTGTGGTGATGAGTTTCAAGAACAGAGGTTCCGTGGGGTGGGGATGCCCGGGCGAGGAGGGGGGTATCGGTCGGTTTTGGGAGTGACATTGTGTGGTGGGGGGTCCCAAGGACGGAGGTTCCGTGGGGTGGGGATGCCGGGGCGAGGATGGGGGCATCGGTCGGTTTTGTGGGAGAAATTGCGGCGGGGGGCCCCGAGAACAGAGGTTCCGTGGGGTGTGGATGCCGGGGCCAGGAGGAGGGTATCGGTCGGTTTGGGGGGAGGAATTGTGCGGTGGGAGGTCCCAAGAACAGAGGTTCCGTGGTGTGGGGATGCAGGGGCCAGGAGGGCGATATCGGTCGGGCTTGTGCGAACAATCGTAGGGTTGGCGCAAGGTTGGTGGCTCTAGCCCGCACTTTTCCTCACACGCCCCTGGGGTCGGCGGATTAATGGCGTCCACGACGGCCTCAGAGAACCCCAAGATGGCCGCAGAACATTTAAAACAAAACGGCCTCCAAGACCGCCCAAGAGGCCCCCAGAATCGCCCCAAGACGTCCCACAAGAGCCCTCCAAGACGGCCTCCCAAGGCTCCTGTGGATCCCAGAGCGCTCCGAGACAGTCCAAGAGGCCCACAAGACACCACTCCGCACCCCTCCCCTCTCCTCCCGGATCTTTCTCATTCCTCCCCATCCCTCCCCGCTCCAGGCAAGTTTGCGCGAGGCGGTTGCGTTTTTGGCCGCGATCTTGCCAGTGCATACCTACATGTACGACCACCCGTCGGGTGATAAGGAGGTTGTGTGTGCGGTGGTGGGGGGAGGAAGGGGGGACCAACTGGAGCTACAACATAGCATTGTATCGCAAAGCAGAGCATCGCATAGCATCGCATAGTGTCGCACAGCACAACATACAACAGCATAGCGCAGCATCGCATAGCAGAGCATCGCATACACTTTCATTGCATGGCATAACACAGTATGGCATAGCATGGCATCGCATCACACTGCATAACATCGCATCGCACCGCAGCACATCATACGGCCGATCGCTCATCGCAGTGATAACACAGCGCAGCATTGCACAGCATCGTACAGCATCGTACAGCATCACACAGCACAGCACGGCATCGCACAGCACCAGACACAACGGGACACCGCGGAACCCCCCCCGGCCACCGCCGGACAACCGGGGGGGGACACCGCGGGACACCGCGGGACACTCCCCGGCCACCGCTGGCCAACCAGGGGGCGCGGCAAAGTTTGGCCCGGTCTTGCTGTGAGCACGGCCAGTTGACTCCACTCGCCCGCCGACGCAGCTTCGCCTCGCCCACATGCACGACACGACACGAAACCAAAAACGATGTCTTGGCGCCGGGTTTCTGGTTCGCCTCGATCTCTTTCCCAACCTCGGATCCCATCTGCTTGCCGTGGGGACAGTCGGTTGTTTCGCTCCGCCTGGCCCGTCCTTCCCCCCCTCCTAAGCCCCAAGACGGCCCAAGAGGACCCCAAAAACGACCCCGGAGGTTCCGGAGTCCGACCAAGAGGGCCCCAAGAGGGCCCCAAGAAATTCTTCCAGAGCCATTTTGGTTCAAGTTTTGGCTTAAGGGGTGGCCGCAGTGAGAGCTTGGTCCGACCGACCTGCCGTCTCCCGCGTCGCGTCGTTGGGCGTGCGTCGGCGTTGTAGTAATGGTCAACGTGGACGTTCTTTCTCTGTTCGCGGCCTCTGTGAAGGCAGTGCTCAAGATCGGCGTAGTAACAGGCGCCTGAGTTCTCATGGCGAGATGGGGCATCATCACGAATGAAGGCAAGAGGTGCCTCGGAGAACTGACGATGACTCTTCTGATCCCGTGCCTTATGTTCACTCAGGTTGCGGATTGCGACGTGCAAATGCAGCAGCACATTCCTTGCCCAAACATAAAGTCGGTAATCTTGGGCTCCTGGGTTCTATTCCTGTGGCCACTTGTTGTCGTCTCGAGTGGGTACGGGCTGGGCTATTCTGGTATCCAAAATGCTGAGGGTGCCGCAGACTTTTGCCAGGGCTGCTGCTGGGTCTGTTGCTTTCGGCAACTCCACGGGCATGCCGCTCGTGCTTCTCCAGGCGCTCACCCCATCCTTGATCGCTAATGGTATTCTGGAGGAGAGTCCCCTGCTGTATCTTCCTGTGTACCTGGTCTTGTCGCCAGTCCTGCAGTGGACGATCGGACCTGCAATATTCCAAGCGCCCAAGCTTGAAGATGGGGCGGCCCCCCTTGCTCGAGATGGAGATGGCGAGAGTGAGACCGCATCTGATGAGTCGAGGCTGAGAGCGCAGAGCGTGACCCGGTGCAGGGAGACCAGGCCGACACGGGCAACTCGGTGCAATTTGTGCCACAATTCGCCCCCCAGGCCGAGATTGACGACGGGGTCACGTTGGAGTCAATCAAGTCCGGACGCCTGATGCCCAGGAAGAGAGACGGGGTATGGACAAACGTGAGCAAGGTCTTGTCGCTTTTCGTGTCGCCGCCAGTTCTGGCGACTATCCTCGGCATCTTCTTTGCAGTGGTCAGGCCAATGGAGCCGCTCGATGCGTTTTTGTTCCCCAGTGCAGAGCCCGGTTCGAAGCGGGTGTTTGATTGGGTATACCAAGGCTTGCGCAGTATATCCAATGCGGCCGTGCCAGTGCAATATCTGATGCTTGGAGCGAGTCTGTCTAAAGGCGCAGATTTCGGAGCCTTGCCCTTGCCAACTAGTGTCGCTCTCGCTACGACGAAGATGATACTACAGCCAGCAGTAGTGATGTGTCTTGTTTGGCTAGTCTCCCGCGTCGTCGGGGACAACGGAAGTGGTTAGTTGCCATTATGGTCTTGCTTACGCCAACCGCGAATAACATAATGGTTCAGGCGGAAGCTGGTGGTCAAGACAAGGCTGCTCTGAACACGCTGATTTTTACCCAGTGCATGCTGTCTCCCGTTCTGCTGACAGTGTCCCTGACTGCAACAGCTTTCATGATGCAAGTTAATGGGTTCCTGCCGAGCCACCCATGAAGCTACGGCCGGTGAGGCAAGTCGTTCATGCTGAGACCATGGCCATGCCTTGGAGGAAGTTTCGAAGGGCATACCAGCAAGGCCTAATCGCAGCCGGGCCTTCGGCGCGTCTCATCACCTTGGCGCTGTTTTCTGTGCCGGCGCCGTTTGCGGCGCCGTGCCAGCGTAACTAGACCCTCTGCGATCTGGCTGCTTTCATGTTTAAAGTGCAGGGTGTAGGTCGTGTTCAGATTTTGGGTCCGTGGGGTGTCGGCCAGGCCAGTCGCACTGTGATAATGCCTGTGCCCGAGCGTCAGCTGGCCCCTCTGGTATATTTTCGGCCTCTGGGGGTCCTCGCCACCATTTTTTGGGGGTGCCCCATCAGTTTTGCAGCGCCGACATCGCCCTCGCCCGTCGCCAAAGTTAATTAAAAAAGGGCCCCAAGAAACTCCAAGGGATTTCAAGGGAGGGCCAAGAGAGTCTGCTGGGCCGTCTTTGCAAGGGCTCGGGGCGTCTTGCGGCCGTTTTGAGGCGGTCTCTGCTCAGGGCGCCGTGGAGCAAAGTGCAGAGGGCGCGATTTTGTCAGGATGCGCGCGGCAGGGGGCGTCGCTCCCAGAGAACAGCAGAAACATACCCCGAAAACCAACAAGCACTCTCACACGGCCCCAGCGTGCCTGCGACAGGGTGGCGGAGTTTCATTGTTTGCGTTCGATTGTTCAGCAAGGGAAATGTTCGGCGCCAAGGCGTGTCAAGGTGCAGTGCTGGCTTGAAGATTCGCCCACGCCCGCCTGCGGTCAACCCAGTGAATTAGATGCATTTTTTCATGTTCAAGAGCTGGTCGCCCCACCTTGCGTGCACATCCTTGGGCAATCGACCAGATAAGTGCGCGCGAGGCGGGTGTGTCTCTGGCGCGAGTCCCGGCGCCACAAGATGCCCCAGTGGAGCTCCCAAAAGGCCCCACCAAATGACCCCAGAGAGCCATAAACGCAACAAAAACCATTCAGGTTTCTCCATATTCAGTAAATCTCGCGCTCTCGCATCTACCCGTTGAGGCGCCATCGATTGGCGCAAGTTAGCCGTACCGATTTCGAGGTTTTAGTGGCATGGACGCGGAAATCTGCAGTCCAATTCCTTGTGCGAGAGTGCCTCAGGTTGAGCTGCTCGCGCATTGCCAGTACATGTGTTGTTCAAGTTTCTGGGTAGAAGCTTGCAATTTTCATCATCAGGTGTTTGCGCTGGAAAAAAAATCTCGCGCTCTTCTCCTTCGGATGGCGTCGGGAGATCTTCACATGGCCCCGAGGCTCGAGACCGCCCCACAACTTCGAAGAAGAGCCCAAGAGGGCCCCAAGCGGGCCCCAAGGCCTTCGAGGCAGCCCGAACAGGAAGATCCCCAAGAGACCCCTACACTCCAAGAAAGCCCACTTCATATTCAATATCTCCCCACGCCGGCCCTGAACAGCTCGAAGACCCCGCGTAATCACAAGAAAGATGAGGCCGTCGATAGAACGAGAAACGAACAGCGGAGACAACCGAAAGAGACTGGACGGTTAACAAGGAATGACGTGTGAGGAATATTAGAGGACGAAGGTGCAAGGCAAGTAATGAGCCAGTCCGAAAAGCACTCACAGCTAACAACGCCATGGCATGCGTTAGAACCCAAGCTCGCGCGAAGCGCGTGCGCGGTTCTAGTATACACACATCTATATATATATATATATATATATATATACGTATATATATATATATATACCTTCTTCAATATCTTACAACAGAGAACTGGCACAGACGAGCGGCCCACCCCAAAAGAATCTGGTGTGCCCCAGAGGCCCCAAGGGATCCCTGAGGCTCTCTTTGGTCCCC